GCATCATCATTTGCACTGGCACAGCTCATGAGATGCATGAGTCCCTCTTTGTTTTAACAGAAGTGCTCCTGAAGGACAAACAAAAATCACCACCCTCTGGGCTTGAGCAATATCTGGCCCTGTCCCAAACTTGGAAGTGTCCTTTTATGTTTATGAGTATACATTTTTTCTTACATTTGTTTTTAACACACTCAGTGCTTTTTCAGGTTTAATAATGTTCATACAATATTCCAAATGTAACACAAACACTGCTAGCGTGCCTTAAATGAATTTTACCACGGAAATGACCAGTGTTAAAATAAAAATAATTTATCGACCATTATCGCCATCTGTTGGTGGAGGTTGGAGTGGACTCCGCTCTGCAGAGCCTTGGTTCACTGGGAACATTCAAAAACTGCTAGTTCCTTAATTGGAGGGAGGGAAGGAGAGAAGTAGGGAGAGAGAACATGTGCTCACACATGTTTGCACACACACACTAGGTAAAATCTCTAAGGACATGCACTAACGTTCTTATCTGACTTTAGGTGGTTTTAGTTTTTTCATCTTCTTTTCTGTGTCTTCTAATGACAACTGTATGCATTACTTTCACAATTAAAATAGACTAACAAGAAAGGTAGAATTTAGGAGGAACTAAGTAAAGGGGGTAGAGGAGAAAATTTAGTTTATTTTAATAGATACAAACTAAAATATATTTGATTTTATATGATAGCAGATGAAAGAGGAGATTAAATGGAAAGGGAAAGAAATAAGAAAAGTTGTGGTGCAGACTAAAAAAAATTAGTAGATTCTAGCAAGAGGTTTTATCAGCCATGTTCACTTGGACCAATAGTTCTAAGTGTGAGTTTTTACTTGTTATCCTCTCCCTTTGAAATTCTAATTATTCTACAATCATGTCTCTTAATTACTCTTTATCCTTTTACTGCCAGAGCTTCCTCTGGAGTGGATTATCTACTCTTAGCAAAGAATATTGTAATCTGGGTAGCGAGCGCTGATCCGAGCCTTGTTACTTTGAAGCTGGATAAAACCCAAAGAATCTTTATAGACACATTTATTTCCATAAAATTCTACCACTTGCTTTCTTGGGGATTCACCTCCTTAGGGTCCTTAGAGTGTGAATTCTGCAGGTGAGGAGACCTTTTTGCCCCAGTACGTGTATGTCCCTGTTTGTTCATAATGGCTTTCTTAAACAAATTAAGCTGCAGATAGGAACAAGGGGAGGTGCAAATCTGGCTACTTTATGAATTTGTGCCCAGATGTCTGTTAATCTTGTAGGCATTGATGATTGACAATAGAATGAGACTAAATGTTAATTCTCTATAATGCTCTTCCCATTGTAAAGTCTTATTGCATGTAAAACTAGCAAGGAGAGAGGCTTTCTCTCCCTCTGCAGAGGGAGACCAGACAATACTGTAGCCTAACACCCCTTATCCTGTTCCTTAAGATGCCATTTGATTGATGGCTCTTCTCCATAGCCTGGATCTGGATCTTTCCTGGCCCTTTTCTTCTGCCATCAGAACCACTTGTTCTACACTCTGTTCTCATAATGAGGTGACTGACTCATCTACTGAGCTAACCAGGGCCTGAGTGATTTAGTGTTTCATCCTCCAGCTCTGGGGTCTGTATTTTGATGGGAGCCTTTTGCTTGTGAGAAGTATGACTGAGTGGACAGCTCAAAAGAGAAGATATTTTTTGAGCAGAAAGCCTTTCAACACCTCCAGGTAACTCCAAATAAGCAACTTCCTGCTCCTTTTGTTCGAGGAAGCCAGCATGGACAGAGAGGATACTGTTTTCTAACTTTCTGTGAAATCATGCTTTCTCAGTCTTAACCCACAAATCATGATGAAAACCACAGGAAAATAAAACTGATAAATTTCAGAAATCTCTCTTCTCTTTCCTTATCCTTCATTCAATCATGAGCCACATTTTATTTCTTAAGATTAAAAAATTGCTTAGGCTTCAAAAGTACATCATTTCAATCCATAGTAGTCTAAGAGAACATCTTTTCTTTTCTCCTACTAAGAGCAAAAAGGAAACATTGTTCCTCGAGGAAATTTTATAGATAAATTACAATGAGAACTTGGATACTGTTCATTTTTGAGCTTTGGGATTTTAGGTAAGATCTTAGATTCAAAACTTCTATGAGTTTTTGTTTACCCATTTGCAAAAATAGGAATAATAACACCTAACCTCATAGATTGGGAAGTTAAATAACATCACACATTCAGAGTACCTGGCACAGTGCCATGAATATAACTCAATAAATATAATCCCCTTTTGGTTTCTTATAAAATAGCCAAACGATTGAGGAAATTAGTAGTGCTCTCATGTAAAAGATAGTGTTTGAACAGATGGTTCAAAATCAAGCATGGGTGAATAGAGTAATAGAAAGATGGTAGAGAAGGGTTTAAAGTGGTGTTTGAGGCAAGTTAATGCAGCAGACAAGTCCTCTTGGAAAGCCAGAGGCATGGAGAAACTATTCAGTGCTTTTTGCAAAAATCTAGACATGGTTTAAGGAAGGAATAAATTTTGGAAACATCAAAGACAAAACTCAGAAGAATTATTGACTGAATGGATGGAGGAATGATTGAGTTGATGCTGTGTCAAGGACCCTGAGCTTGGTGGACGATTGGGAGAGTAACTATGCTATTGGGTACAAAGAGATACGGAGAGGAGACAGGAGAGATGTGTTTGGGATGCTGGCGTGGATAGAATTTGTGAAATGATGGACATGAGATGATATTTAACTAGATATTTAGGTATCTTAATGAAACATTAAGATATTTTTAAAAAGTGTAGAAAAAAAACTAAGTTTTGATGGGATTAAAAGCAAAAGAGTAGGAAGGAGAAATGGGCATCATCAGAAGAGATTCATTACTTACAATTGTAGCACTAGGTAAATTTTCTAAGGGAAGGAAGTGTTGAGGAACAAATATTAAATTTGGTGAAAGTTTTCAGCTAATGAAAGAGAGGAGGAACTTGAATGGACACAGAGTCCCTGAAAAAGAGCAGAGAAAAGTGAAATGTGATGCACACCTGGGTACCAGGCCCAGAGGCAAAGAGAAAGGTACACTTAGCACAGACTCGGACACAAGCACTCATGTCACATGTAGCAGAGGTCAGAGAGAGCCAGAAGCAGAAGAGTGTGTAACATGGATTGAGTATCAGTGCTACCAAGAGTCTTTTTTTTCTTTTCCTACTCCCACACCTCATGTCTGTCCCTATCTTTCCCATCATTAAATGTTGAAAGCATAACCAGAGGGTACAAGGCCAACCTTGTCATCTTCTGAATGTCCTTTTCTATTAGGTTGACAAAGGGCTCTGAACCGTGTGACCTCAGGCATAGTCTCTGAATCTCTGTGACTCTCAATTCCCTCTTCTAAATTGGAATCATACTAGCGTTTTCCCCTGCTTTTGGAAAAGTGTGTGCAGGGATAGAATCTAAAAATGCTTTCATTGTAGACTTGTGCAAATGAGAGTGCTGGTAAGTTATCAAGCATATAACCTAGGTAGATACATGGTTGCTAAAAGATTATCTTTAAATTACTTAGTCTTATCATTTGTGGATTTCTAAAATTATTTTGAGTAAGCTTAGTGATCTGTGTTAATGTTGTTATATATACTCAGAATCTCTACAGGGAATTGAAGGTGTTTGTGCATCATTATGTCTCTCAGTTGTAATTGACATTTGAACCTTAAATTATCTTTACTTTCATGCCTAGTTAGTAATCATCTGACTACATGATTACACAGAATGAAAGTAAGGAAAATTAACTGGAGGAGTGAGGTGGCTCAAGCCATTTGTTTTTTCCAGATGAATACATGTCAGCTGGTTTCAATGTGTATAAAATAGATGTTTACAATATTCAAGGTGGTTTAACATGTTGTACAGATACTTAGGTTTCCTAGAAATTTAAAAACTTGCTTTAGTCCTCAAAAATCAATCATGACAAAGGTATAGGAAACCAAATGTGAGACTATTTTAAAGTTAACTTGTGAGAAAATAGAATTTTGGAATTTACCACGTACAAATGAGGAAACTTGCAATTCAGATACATGAAGTAAGTTATGTGTTTCCCCAAGTTTTACTTTGATTTTTAAGAAGTATTTTTCAAAGATTTTTTTCCCCTCGATTTTTTAGAAGACAAGCATAGTCAATGATGCTTTTTCTCAAAGTTTGTGCTCTCAGAGGGTGTGGGGGGAGATACACATAATTAAGTTATACAATTTCTTCATTTTCAGTAGGCGTGCACTAAATTTTAGTGTTCTGCATTTTTTCCATCTCCCCCTTCATCTATAGCACATTAAGAAATTTGAACATATTTCTCATACACACCCTCATAAAATGAATGATTAATCCCTGGCGAATTTTTCATATTCTTGATTATCCATTTCTTACACACATGTTACATGCACACATATTAGTGTACTATATTGTTATTAGAGTTAGAAGTAGCATTAGTAAATAATTTATGGATAATGACAGAAGTCTTTAATAAAAATGAAAAGACCTATTTTATTATCGTTAAGTGTGTTAAACTTACACACAGGCCCACCAGCCCTCTGTGATGATCTGTGCAGCACTGGCTGTGGAATCACCAGGCAAAGAAGAATGCAGCAGCTCTCCACCATTATTATTTCATAAAATCTGTGCAGGTCATAGAACTTCAATAATTCTACAGACTTGTATTTGACCATAGACATAGTGTTGGTAGAAGCAAATACTTTCACAGAATACATTTCCTGTGTTTTTATATCAAGATTATCAGATAAGTACCCGTTCTTCAAAGCTAAACATCAAACTGTAACCCAAAGATTCAGAAGGGAAGACTGGCCGTTCCCTGTTTTTAGTTAAGTGTTGAATTTAGAATTTCCACGGCTTGCCGCTTAGTAAAGAATATTTTGTACTTTAAAGTTTGCAGGTGTTTGAAAAGTATGCATGTTCTTTAGATTTAGACATTAATAAGAGTTCTTCTTTATAACTTTTCTCCTTTCTTTTTCAGATATGGGAAAATAGTTTCCACAAAGGCAATTTTGGATAAGACAACAAACAAATGCAAAGGTATGTTTTCGTGGCTGAATATTTGCTAAACATAACTTTGAAAAATGATGGAATTTTGAATCTGATCATAGGTTACCAGATTACCCCACATTTTATTCAAAATCAGATCTCATGTGTCTCCCAGTTTCTGTCTTGCACAACATTAGCACACTGCTTACGTTTGTTTTGTCCCTGGTTTGGGTTTTGGCTGGAAACTCAACAGCAGCTTGCAGTTTGCCAGATTTCCAGATTTGGCGCCAGTAGAGTTAACATGCAAAATACTAGTTGGCATTTAGCCCCTACTTTTAAAAGGGGAGTAGAGTTTAGAAAATAGCTTTTCTTTCTTGAGCCTGAGGAGATTAGAGCTGCTTACTGAAGACCATTGGACTGTACTAAAGAACTGAAAAGATTACATATTGTGCAAATTGGCTCTATTAATTAGAATAGAGTAGTTTTAAGCAGTACTTAATTACATGTTTCAATACTCCCAATTGTTCTCTGCTGAATGCCTGTTGACAATATTGGCAGCGGGGAGGAGAGAACCATTTTCACTGACCAAATTGTAATGGGGAGGGGAGGTCATGCACCCCTTTGAAATATGCTGCTGCATTAATTTGATGCACTGACCTTCAGTTTTCCGTGTAATTAGGATGAGCTCATCCAACTCCATGAGCTGGAAGAGGAGGCGTCTGCAGTAGGCAGCTCGGATGCTCTGTGCTTCTGACTTTTAATGATCCAGCATCTTAACAATAGGCATGTGATTTCTAGGAAAAGGAAAGAATGGAGTCAGCTGACTTTGAATCTAACTACTGACCCCATGAATTGAAATAAGGTTGACAGGAATAGGCAGAGAAGGCAAATCTCCTCATTAATTAGACCCTAGTTTTTCAAGTAGTGGTGACGGGGCAGTGGCTTAGTACAATTTGAAAAAGGCGAAGAACATAAATGAACCCTATAGTAGGGCCTCTTCTCTTAAGCCAGCCATTTCCTTTAATCTAGACTTAAAGTGGTCCATTGTATTTCTGTCTCTTCTTCAAAGTGCCTAGATTTAAAGGAGCTATTGTGACAAATATCTAAGCCCATGTTTAATCAACATGGCACATTAAGGCAACTTTGCGTTGGGACTGTGCTTTATGTAGAGTAGTACCCCACAAATATTTAAAATAAATTAAACTAGAGAGAGTTAACTTGTAGACTCAAATACATACACTTAGCTGCCACAATTTATCTTATTTAACACTTATAAATGATTTGGGAGAACAGAGACGCAAAAAAAATTTTTTTGGTTTTATAAAGAAAAGTAGACTTGCCAGCATAAAACAGGAAACTGATCTCAACAGTTTCAAACCAAGAGAGACACTGCAGTAGATAAGTGGTTTTGGCCTTATCCTACCTCCCCTCCTTTTCTTCCTGGCCTAACAAGAAATCTTACAAGGCAGTTCAGTTTGCTGCAAAGCAGAGCTGCCCTGGTTAAGTGAGGGAGAGGACCCAGAGTCCTCTGGTTGCAAAACCACCACTGTACACTCTTCTCCAATGACAGCCTGTTTCCTGGAAGCCAACACTCTACAGTGCCCATCATGATTTAGAAAGGGTATGGGTACAAATTAACTAATGCTACATCTCCCATATTATTATAATGCACAGCCCTAATATTTGGAATGGGTCCACAGATAAGTGAAGAGGCTTATGGGGCTTCCAAAGAAAGGGAGGTTGTAATTCTCCCCTGGAGAGCTTCCCTTCACCTGGGCTTGGGGAGACACTGCCACTGTGTGGGCAGTGATGAGACCCTGCAGGGCTCTCTGCCTTGAGCAAACCTCCCAGCACTTGATGCCAGCAGATACCTTGGAAAGGAGGTAGAGGTAAGAATAGGAAACCAGAATGAGAGAGTTTATGGGGGGAAAAAAACGTTAATAATGTTAAGACAAATAAGAAATAACATGTAATTTAGCTCATAATAAAGTTAGCTGACATGCTACCCAAAGCAACTTACAATGATAGGTAGGTAGGTAGATAAATATAGGATAGATAGATTGAGAGGTGGATATAGATAAATTAATACATGAGATTATAGAGCATTAGTATAAATGAATGGTGCTTGTATTATATATTAATTTTTAGAGATTAAATATGAGAATTATAAGCATGGAAATAAAAATTCATAAAAGGTCATAGGACATTTTGTCATAAATCATATTTTGGAGCCTCTTTGGTCAAAATTAAGCTAAGGGATATATCAAATCTGAATAACACGTGCCTTAGTTATTGAAAATTCAATTGTTTAATGTTTCAGTTTCTGTCAGAATTTGGCCAATAAGAGAGATTTGAAGATTTACCAACACTGTTCTATGTGTCGGTTCAGGGCAGAACTTCCAAGGGATTGATTATGTATCTGATCATTCATACATGGCTGCACATGGACCAGAACACACACACTTGTAATCAGAAAGGGTGAGGGCAGATCAGACCAAGAGGTTGGAGATAGAGATATATATCTATCTATCTAATAATCAGACCAAAAGGAAAAGCTAAGGTAGGAGCAGAAATTGAGAATACCTGCTTATTGTTATTTATTGCAAATAGCAAAATTCGTGGAAAACTTTAAACATCCACTAGTAGAAGCTATGTCATTTGATTGTCATGGCCATGTGTTCATTTATGACCTGCTGAAGAGTGCACACATGCATGTGCATCCATCCTCAGAATACGATAAGTCAGCATTAACAGCAAATTTCTCAATAACACCCAAAATACATTTAACCTGATCTCTAACCTGGCAGTTGAGTAGCATTCTCTGCTTTGGCCTCCATCAGCCTCCTCTTTTTTTCCTCAACCTGGCTATTTCACTATTGTCTAAATCAAATTGGGCACAATTTCAGTCCCATTCTAAGTACTACAAGGAAGCTGCATTAACATTCATCTCTCCGTAATCGATAGTCTGTCTACTCTATTTCATTACAACTTATTTTGTTACCAGGCAATATTTTTGGTACCAGTGCTACAAACTGGACTGTTTCTGAGGCTTTCTCTTTGACCACCTTGCTGTGTGTTTGTCTATTTTGACACTAGCACCATGCTATCTCAATTACATATCATTTCTTCATAATATGTGGAAATCAGTGACAGACTGACTCCCCTTCCACACAACCTCCACAAGGTACTTTCCTCTTTCAAAATGTACTTATATTGAAATTAATTTTATAATAATTGATATGAGTTCCAAGGGAGACTCTGGTACTTCGCTTGGAATCCTGTTCCTTTAAACAGTATACTAAATATAACTCAACCTTCCCTCAATCATGGAGTTACCAGACTGAAAGAAAATCTACAATTCTCTGTTTTAATACAGCCGTGCTCTCAGGATCTGTTGAGATTCATGGGGCTGCTTGCTTGTATGCTGTGGAAGTCCGGCTCTTTGTTCAACTTTTCTCTTTTATTGCTTGTTGTGGTTTTTCACGGCTAGGTGCCTTCATCCATGTGCTTGCTTTGTAGCCCTATCCTCATCAGAACCCCTTTTTGACTAATTTTCTGCTATGATTTCTTGTGGCCTGAGAAAACAGATGACCAGCTTGTTAAAAATGTGAACCTATCGATAAATAAGCTTTAGACCACAATCTCTTATAGGTGGTTATTTGTTTTTGTGTGTGTATGTTGCATTTTGGTTTTAGACTTTAGGGCATGAACTGCTTCAAATATTTTAGGTATCTGGAAGCATTTTCTCTCTTTCTTTTGAAGAGATACAATGAGCTGTATTTTAGGTAAATAGTACTTTTAACCAGTTACCAAAATTTAGGTTATCTTATATTTGGGGTATCTAATGATGGTACTTATTTTAATTTTGAAAAGTAAGGTTCTACAGAATAAGCATAATTTTTGCTAGGCATGGTGGCGCACACCTGTAATCCCAACAACTTCGGAGGCTGAAGCAGTAGGATTGCAAGTTCAAGGCCAACCTCAGAAAATTAGCAAGGACCTAAGCAACTTAGAACTTGTCTCAAAAAAAATAAATAAAATAAAATAAAAGGTTGCAAGGGCAGGCCTGGAGATGTAGCTCGGTGGTAAAGCATCCCTGAGTTGAATACCCAGTACCAAAAAATAAAGAAGAAACAACATAATTTTTGCTGCTGTCATTTGTCAGCCCAGTGGGATGGCTCTTATCTTCATTACCACATCATTAAAAGCAGTATTTCTCTGAAGTTGTTTCCTGCCCCCTCCCCACCTTTTCTAACTTTGGTTGGCAACTGAGATGTCATCGTTTTCATAGTAACCATAGGACACCTAAGAAGATCTTGCATGGGACAAAGCCAGTTCTCCTCTCCACACGGCACACACACTGGGAAGGGAGGCTTGTCCGGCTCAGACTGGCCACCAGGAGGAAGAATTGAGGATGTCACTGACTGCGGCTGTGAACACCTGTGTCCTCTCCTGGTGTTTTCCGTTTCTTTTGTCAGAGTAGAGACAAAGTGTAGTCATTCTTCTACTTTTCACATAATCATAAAATAATGACTTAATAAAAACTGTGTTCTGCATTTCAGGTTATGGTTTTGTTGACTTCGACAGTCCTGCAGCAGCTCAGAAAGCCGTGTCGGCCCTGAAGGCTAGTGGAGTTCAGGCTCAAATGGCCAAGGTGAGTCAAGCACTTTGCTCCTGAAGCCTCTTCCTGCACCATTCCTCGCTCCCTCTGTCCCTGCTAGCCACAGCTCCTGCTAAATAGCTGTCCTGTGTCTCCACATCCTCAGCAGTAGTACTCTGACAAGTATTATACATTCCTCATAATTTACCATGGGAAGGAGGATTTATAAATGCATACAATTCACATAGTAAATTACATAAGATGTAAATAAATTTTAAAAAAATTTCTCAGGGTAAGGAATGTGCCTGAATGTCCAAGGATTACAAAATGGAAACCATAAGTTTCTTGCTTAATGAATAGCTTAGTACAGTACACATAGATACTAATTACTGTAAGACATAATGTTTCCGTTGAAAATTTTTTTCTTTTGATAGTTCCTCTCCAAGTTTTTCCCTAGAATCTACAATATCATAATTTAGAAAGGTGAATTGAGTTAACCAGCCAGTTATTGTCTCTTTCTTTTCATATTATGCTCTTTCATTGAAGATAGTTTAAGATGCCCAATTCCTTTTTCAAAAGACATGCTGGTGCCTTAGATTTGATGCACTCCGGAAGGGTGACCATCCCTGATCTCAGTTACACAGACAGGTGCAGTCATGATCACAAAGCTGAGGAGATCTCCAGTTGTGCTCCTTCCTACTTTCAAATAGGCACAATCATTTTATTAAGAAAAACTAAGATTCAGAAAAGAGAAGAACCCATGAAATGGCATGGTTTGTATTCTGTAGCAGACCTTCTGAAACTGCCAAGTTTCAAGTTTGAAAACATATGACAGCAATTGAAGATCCAAAGACAGGGAAAAAAAATCTACTTAACTACAGGTATATCTTCATAATTGCATGTAGGTACTAGCTGTAAGCATATAACTCAAGCTTACATTTGGGCAGCAAAGACTTGGGCATAAGTGTCAATTCAGTCAATGTCACTTTTAGGTTGTATGCTAATAGCAAGTACCTATAGTGCAATTATGAAGAGAAGCCTGTAGTTATATAGATTTTTTTTCCCCAACTTTGGATCTTCAATTACTGTAGGATCTGTTTTCAAACCTGAAATGTGTCACTTTGATATTTTAAGCATTCTTTTCAATTCAAAGAGGCAGCTATGTTATATTATCTGGCTTCATGAAATACTGAAAAAAGGAATTTTCTACTGTCCTCTGCTACTTCTAAATAGTAACAAATGATCATTTCCTAAAGAGCACTCCCATGTCCATAAGCAAAGGTTTATTGAAGTTAAAAAATAAAATAAACTCTGAGAAAGAAATAAATTACCTGCTGAGACCTAAAAGCCAAGTTACGACTTAGACCTTAGCAGTTACAGGCTCCTGAAGAACATGTGTGCAACTACCAGGATAGAGGCTTACTTTGAATGAAAGAATGAACATAGATACAGATTTTAGAAATTAATAGAAGGAATCACATTTTAAGGTAACTTTGCCATATTAATGTTTTTAAAGCTTTATATTGAGTTACACTTACTTTGGATTTTCTTGAACTCCAGAGTAGAAGTTAAACAAAACTATTAATAATAAGCATGGGCTGGGGTTGTGGCTTAGAGGTAGAGCGCTCTCCTAGCATGTGTGAGGCACTGGGTTCGATCCTCAGCACCACATAAAGATATTGTGTCCATCTATAACTAAAAATTAAATATTAAAAAATAGCAATGATGACTTTTAGATTATTTGTCCTCCATAAAGAGTAATTTCCTGTAATATTGTTGAGAAGCAATGAAATTTTAAGTATATTGTAAATATGAGATACCAGCTTTGCATCATGATTGGCACAATGTTTAATCTGGCTCTGTAAACAGTGAGCAAATATTCTATAAGCAGGACTCTTAGGGGTTCATTCAGAAAACCACTCTTCTGTCCTCCACTCTGTCTGTTCTACTCTGCGAAGCTCTAGTTGGATAAAATCCAGGGCAGGTCCCATGACTTTTCTTTATTTCAAAAAAGTCACTTCACTTGCTTCTTTCATTTCAGGTCTTTCTGGTTGATTTTAGAGGATGGTGGGTTAGAATGCCTCTTTATTTTTCATGTCTAAACTCCATGAAACACACATATCCTTTAATACATTTCCAGGCACTTCTGTGTGTATTTACATTGCCCAACCTCAAAATGATATTTTAGACAAGTCAATGTATGGGGAAAGCCTTAAGTTACATTTCAAATAGAATTTGTCAAATGTTAGGATCTTGTGGAAAAGCTTTGAAAGCTGCTGAGAGTCCACAAAAGGGATGTTGTGTCTTGCATGTCACTGTTGCAGAAAGACTTCACAGCCTACTATGTAACAACTATTTGCTGACAACTCTATTGATTATCTGGTGACCAGGAAGCAGTGTCTTGAAGGTTTCCGTCCCCACATAATAATTTATTACATGTGTATATAATAATGTAGATGTGTGTAATGAATGTATTTAGTTATAATTTTGGGAATTTTAGGACAGTCAATTTAGTTATATTTTAGAAGACTGGTTTGGGTTGTGACTAATATGTAATACATTATAACTTGCTTATTTAAAATAATATGAAATATTTTAACGTTAACATTTGGTTAACTTTTTGATGCTGAATATCTGGTTTTCAAAAACGGATTGTTCTTTATATTAAGTGTTCAGTGTTTCAATATCCATCCCTGTTTTTATGACAAATTCCAAGTGTCGTGTAACATCAGAGTCTCTCCACCTGATCAGGTCTGTTCCAAACAGCATGGTTGTGGTGGGATGGAAACATGGGTGGTTTCTGTTTCCAGAACTAGTGCTTCTCCTGCTCCCACCCCTGCTGTCAGCTCCCTAACCCTCCAGGGTTGGAGTAGCAGAGGTAATCTGGTGTTGATTTCTCTGGCCAGGCAGCAGACCCATGCTCTCTCTCATGGAATGCTTCTGGCATTTTTCTTAGTTGTTTACCCAACCCCACCTTTCCTTTAAATCTAATCTTTCCCCATAATCCCTTGAAACTAGAGAATACGTGTCCTTGGACTGGAAACCTCAAATGGAAGGCCATCCTCAACACCATTCTTCTAGGACTTCCCTGTCCCCTAACCTCCCTGGGGGGTATCTAACACAACCTGGAGCCAACTCTGCCTATGGGCCTACTTCTGATCCACCTTTGCCGGCCATCTGCAGTCAAATAGTTTCTTCCCAGCCATACCTGTAGCCCCCTTCAACCAGCATTTCTGCTTCCAGATTTCTCAGCTTTTGAGTGTGGCATGGACCATTGTATCCAGCAAGCCCGTGGAACACAGACCAGGCCTGCTGATTGGTCTGTTGAAGCCCCTGCTGCTGGCCAGATAATGAGGGAAACAGCCCATATATTGAGACTCACAGCATATGCACCTTTCTTTCCACATAAAGCTTATTTCCACTTGTCCAATCTCTTATAGTCAGACAGGAGGCAGTGTTCACATAAGCATCCCAAACCAGTTCTCAGCCAGTTCCTTGAAGGCTCTCTCTGATTGCCTGGTTTCTCACTCTGGATTGTGGAAGCACCAGACACTCATTGTTTTGTGGCCTCAGTTGAATGAGAGTTAGAAAAGGACCTTTTTGTCAGCCTGTTAACAAAATGCAAAGGCGATTTTGAGTGCCTCTGAACACTTGCCCTAGGATCATTCCCAATGCCTGAATATTAAGCAGCATATTATATTAAATATATACTATTTTGAAAAATTCTTTACAATGTTTTTAGTCAACATAGGCCTGGGTGTAGATTGGTACTACATGTCATATCCATTTGAATGCCAGCTTCCCCATGGGTTGATAATGAGCTCTGTTCAAAGACCTCCTTGGTAGGCTTTATACTGTAAATTGGCTAGGAGAAATGATCCCTTCCTCCGTCATCTGTGGGGAAGACCATTGTGCAGGATTAGAGATGCTGGCCATGTGCCAACATTTTCCATAGTATGAATTTCTTCAGGTCCCTGTAGAATGACTTGAGTTTCTTTGATCTAAATTCTTTTTTATTATATCTTTATAGTTAAAAAAATGTATTTTATAATTCTAGCAGATCTCTTGTTCTGTACCATAAATTCAAGGGTTTTGCGAGTCCAAGTTTGGCTTAGCCTCTTTGTTCTGTCTTGATAAAGGAGTCTTTGGCGTGCATCTTTTGGGGAGAGGATTTTTAAAGGAAGTTAATCTGGCTCCTGAGCTTGAGTGACAAAGGCCTGTCACTGTCCACTTTCCTTTAGTGGACGAATCAGGATACACTTATATGTTGAAAATCCATATATTAAACATAATCAGAAAAAAATAAGGGCCATTTTGGTGAGGGAAGGGGAAATGCAATGTTTGGCATGTTGATTGAGTTTAGAAAGGATCCCACAGATGTTCAAAACTGCAAATTGAAACATTAGAGACCAGGGATTTTTTTTTATTATTATTATCATGTATTTTCAATTGCTTGCTTGGTCCTTGCTTGCCACGTGGTATTTTTTTTTGTTTTGTTTTGTTAATAATCAAAAAAATCATTTAAGTGAGAGGGGAAAAATCTTCCTTCTGAGCCTAGGCAGTTATTGAGAATTAAGAGAGAGATTTTAGCTAGGTGCGGTGGTTCTTGCCTGTTATCCCCACAATTGGGGAGACAGGAGGATGGCAAATTCGATGTCATCCTCAGCAACTTAGCAAGACCCTGTCTCAAAATAAAAGTTTAAAAAGGCCTAGGGATGTAGCTTAGATATAAAGCACCTCTGGGATCAGTCCCCAGTCCAAAAAGTTAAAAGGGGGAAAGGGACATTTAAAAATTATATTCATGGAGTACCCTGATGAAACGTCTCAAATAGAAATGGCCTTGGGCCTTTTGGAAAGTCTATTTATGTTTAACTTTGGGAACTAAGATGTAAAATGTGAATAAACGTCAATGATACCTGTTAACAATGTGACTTCTCTAAACCTTTGGTACCTTCTGAGGCCTGCTGGAGGTCAGCAGATCATTGGGTGCTACTTGGCTGATGGGAAGCTTGCACATTTTTCTCAATAAATGGGTAGTCACTGAGCAGGAATTTAGTCCTCACAACACCCCTAGTCCACCATGCTCCAAGCAGTTTGCAGTCACATGCCCGTGAGTGGCTATCTGCTGGTTGGTATTCAGTACAAGAGAAAACAGATGTCTGCTCTTCCTGCCAAGTCCCTTTCTTGCATTTTAGGAACCATTCCACATGCACAGGGAGGTTTTTGTTAATTTCTTTCAGATGATGACTGAGTGCTTTACACCATGTGGGACCTCCAAGCCCCGCTTTTCTACTCAAGTGAACATTAGTACCCATTTATCCCTCTCATGGCTGATGTGGGATCTAGTTTTCCACTTGTTAGAGAGGCCCTTGAATCTTTTCCGTGTCTAGGGACATAAAGAGGCTGTTGGTCCCACTTTTGTTTAGCCACCTATAATTGACAGAATACATTTATTTTTCAGACATAGCAACTTATTATTCAGACATAATACAACAGTGTTATGGTTGTTGCTGATTTTAGGGAGACTAAATTATCCTCAGTGTACAAAACATCACCAGTGACTGAAAATATTATATATTCCATTCACAATGAATGTATGGTAAAGCACACACAGACACTTTGGGATTAGATATTTTTGTGGCTTGAACTGCCTCTTGGAGTTTCTCCCCATTCTTTGGTGGTTAGTTTGTTTTTTAACTTTAAAATTACTCTAACATTATGGGTAGTATTGAAAAAGAAATATAAGTAATATTAGCACTATCGGTCATCCCAAATGAAGAAACCTAAACAACAATTGTTGCTGTTGAAAACAAACACAGAAAAAAAAGTCATGGGAAATATTTATATCTATTTAGATCACTCTCTTTCACTATATCCAAGAAAGAACTAAAAGTCCAATTTCTTTCTGGATTATGATTCTAAGCAATTTTTTTCTTCATTGATAAACTTCCCACTTGAATCAAGACTTTGTAGAATGTGAAATATTTTTATTACTAACTTCATAGATGCAAGAAACTAAAACACAGGTTTGGGAAGTACTTAGTAATTTTTAGAGTGAGGCTACAACGTAGATACTTCATTTATAACAAATTCTCCTATGAGCACTCTTAAACATTAGTCATTGAGAGATCTTCATGATTATAATTTTAAAAAGAAAGTCTATAATACACATACACATAATTTTGTAAGAAACATTTTTAAAATGCTATATTTTTGTATAAAGAGTATTTTGCCCTTTGATTAGGGAGTTTTCCACTTGCTTCTGAATCTGACTAAACATGATTCAAAAATCTAAGGTATGTTGGTTCTCTAATTCCCCTGCTCTGTGTCTCCAAAGCCTCCCAATTTTTCAAGATGTAAGTTTCAAACTACAGTTTGTCCTTCCTCTTACTCCTCCTTACCTTCCAGAAAAGTGAAAGATAAGAGAAACATGGTTTATCTTCCTGAAGTGTCAGTGTTACTCCGTGATATTAGATCAGAAATATTTTTTCTCTGTTAAAGCTCAAATTGTTAAGAAAAAAAAGTAAAAAAGCAATATTAAGATAAAGCACGGGATTTCAAGGAAAATTTCCAGCTCTGGCAAGGCTGCTTCGGCTTTTGCTTATGAACTCTTCTGGATACACATTCTCCTTGCCCTTAGCATTCCTTATGTGGGAAAGTCTAAGCAGCAAGGGTTGATACAATAAAACCAAACTCCTAGATAGCCTTTCACAGTTAGTTTCAACCTCTTGCCTTCTTCTTGTTCCTCAATTCCCCTTTCCTCTCAACAAAGTGTCCCTCAGCACCACTGTCCTCCCATCTTGACTTGCACACATCTAGCCTTCACTACGTGTTTCCATCTCCCCTGTTTAATGGGAAGCTGTGAAAAGCAGGACTAGGTCATAGTTATTTTATAGTGAGAGTATGTGAAGTGTGAAGGGCACAGGAAATGTCCTTGAGCTCATTGAAGCCACAGGTTCTCTCAAGACCCACCCTAAGGACCAAGAACTCTGTGCTGGTTGGTGCAGGGCCAGATTTCTATACTAACAAATACTCGCTGGCACTCCAGGAAAGCCTCAGAAAGTTAGGGGAGACTAAGGCCAAAGGGAGATGGCTAATAGAGGAACTGGACAGTTTACTGGGTTGGTAGAGGTCTACATTGGAAAACGTTAGTACCTAAAACCATTTTTATTGATTTTTTTCCCTGTTTTGGAACACTGTATATATTATTGTCCTATATCTATTAAATAAATCAGTTTTCAAATTTGAAGACATTAAAGATACACTTTTTATAGTAGACAATAGATTTTTCTCAACGTAAGATAATCAATAGTACCACACTGAACTCATCCAAAAACCAAAAAGACGGTTGCCATTTTATTTAGCCTGTGAATAGTTCAAGATGGTGAGTGTTCCGTTTGCTATTGAGCATTTAATAGTTTTTTAACTTTTTCTTGGCCCCACATGACTTGCTTATACTGCCGTCCTTGGTAACAGGCAGTTGTAAGAACAGTACTTATTGGTCATAGTTGTAATCTTTGATAACTTTAGTTCTTGGAAATACCAGGGCATTTACCTAGGCACCAGATCAAGTGACTGATTGATATTGACTTTTGCTGGGCTAGGAATTGAACCCAGGGTCTCAGGCATGCTAGGCAACAGCTCTATCCCTAAGCTATAACTCAGCCCCTGATTTATTTTAAATCTTACCCTGTAAGTATAGCACAAAAGGACACTGTTCACTTTTTACTTGTGAATTATAGAAAAGGAAGATTTTCATTTCAGGATTAATTAATGCTGGTATACTTTGAAAAGACTTTATGAAAATTCAAACATGCATAGTGCTTCACATATTTTTAAAGTACTGTGCATTTCAAATATCTAGAAAGCTATAATGGGTATGCCATTTCATTTCCAAAGGCTAATCTACAAATTAATGACTTTATTAATAGTGCTTATTAAAGAAAAATTATAAGCTGTCCTATGCTTCAATACATAAAGATACAATTGGTTAATAAGATCAAAGGAAAGGCTAATTAAGGTTACACTAATCTCGTATTTGCAGAAGTGAATTTTGATCTGGTCAGGAAATATTCTAGTTGTCAGGTAAACTTTTTTCCTGGTGATTGACATACCCTACTCCTCATAACGTTGCATTTACTGGCAATCATATCTGATTCTAGGTGATTCTACCCCCAACAAAGGAAAGTCGGATGGAAAATTATCTAAGAGTACTGCCTCTCAGGTTTTCATATGCTTATGAGTCACTTGAGTATCTTGTTAAAATGCAGCTTTTGATTCTGCAGGTCTGAGGCAGGGCCTGAGACTCTGCCTTTTGAATTGCTCCCAGATAATTCCTAATAGTATTGCTGGTCCCTGGATCACTCTTTGTATAGCACAGAGTTAGCACACCTTCTCTCTCCATCTACTCTTGAGTTCAGCTTTTATAAGATTCTAAAATTTGACCTGCCCAGAGTTTACCATTTTATATGGCTTTGAGTTTCTCTTTTGGATTAAGTTAGGAGCTCTTCTTTTTCCATTGCTGATCACTACTTGAAAGTCATATGGACTTTGCCATAGGGCAGATTGGGGAAAGCCTATACTGGAATCCATGTGACTTGATCCAGAAATCTTTCTCATGTATCTCTAAATTGAATTATTAGCAGTAATAGCCTCCTGCTTGTGCCTGAAATGAACTCCTAAAAATAGCAATGGAAGAGAGGTTGGTTATTTTTGGAAACACTGAAAATAGCTGAGAGCTGTGCTTTCTGAAGGGCACCCTCTCCAACTCAGCATCACCCTTTCCAACATGATGCCACTTCCACCTCTGCCGAGAAGGGCTCTGGGAACTAGGTCAGACCTGTACACACTGTCCAAAGTGTGGATACTGTTTTCAAGTGTCCAAGGTGATGTTAGTGTTCCATGGATCCCATGGTTTCACTAGATAATACTTTAAAAGGATGTGAGCAAAGAGGGTGCCTACATACAATTAGATATGTTAACATAAATATCTCTCCTTCTCCTAGAAATTGATAGACAATTCTCTGTTCTGCTTTAGCAACAGGAACAGGATCCTACCAACCTGTATATTTCTAATTTGCCCCTGTCCATGGATGAGCAAGAACTTGAAAATATGCTCAAACCCTTTGGACAAGTTATTTCTACAAGGATACTACGTGATTCCAGTGGTACAAGTCGCGGTGTTGGCTTTGCTAGGTAAGCATGCTGCCCTCCCTTTATTACACCAGCAGAAGTAATAAGTTATCCTACAAATTAAAAAAAATAATCAAGCAAATTTAAGCCAGGCTTATGGGCACCAGTGTAAATTTACCTGTAATTTTTAAAAAATCTTTTGGAATTTCATTAGTATTCTTGAAACCGAGCACACATATTTGCTGGCTCAAGGCAAAGAAGTATTATATGAGCAATAATTCTGAAAGTGTTTGTGTCTTATGTTCTGATTAAATTAATTTTTAGGAAATTAAATTTCTTTAAAGTGACAACCAGTCTCCTAAATTTCATAGATAAATCAGTATGTTTTTTTCTCTTTAGACAGAAATGTGATTCATCATCAATAAAGTGAGTTAATTAGAATTTTCAAACATTCATGAAAGAAAAGGATTTAACACCTAACTACCACATAAATTTAAATATCTTATAATTCTCACTTTAGTTTTTTAAGAAATCAGTGCTCCAGATAGAACTAAAGTATCTTATTCCTCCATTTTATCTCTTCCTCCCCAGAAAGGATACTTTAGTGTAATCATTAATTTGGTTTCTAGAGAAAATGTATAAAACAGAGCTTTGATTTCCAGAGAAATTCTAATCCTAAAGCCCATAAAAAAAAAGCTGATTTTACATGATACATTATTTAGGAACTTGTTAGTCTTCTGCAATAACAATATCTATGTGTTTTAAATTGTTAACTTAGACTTTGGAAGAAAAAAATGCTGACATTTTACTTTCATATACAAGACAGTCACATCCTGCCACAGACCTGTGTTATGAATAAAGCATTATTATTACATATTACTTTATATATGAGAAAACTGAGGCACAGAAGGACTTTTCCATCATCCACTAGCGGGCAAGGGCCATTAATTAGTTCTTCTGGCTTTTAGTCCATTGTTCTGTTAGGCCAGACAATTTTATAATAAAGCTAATATATCAGTAAATAGTAAGTCACCAGGGCCAGCATCTCAAGTGCACACTTCATTGGTAATCTGGGTGGGACACCAATTGGCTCGACAACATCTCCTCACCTCCGTGGGTGTTCTTCTGAAAGCAAATCAGGGGTACCTATCCAAAGACTGAGCCCAATTAAATGCTGCTGTTTTTCACATTGTCACTATCCATTAGAACTGAGGTGTAATTCTCTGGGTAGTTCAGGAATATGGTGTATTTTAAGTAGATTATTCTGTGTTTCTTCTATTGAAGAAACATAAATCAAAGTAATTTAAATACCTAGAAATGTTTCTCAAATGTTTTTAGCCATCTGTAGATATAAAACAAGTTATGAAGTTAGGCTCCAGCCTTTAATTAACTCCTCCAAAGCCAATATGACAAAGAAATATATAATTGACTTCACTAATTTAATTTTAAATTGAGCAAATGTAAAAGTCATGTGAGACACATCCTCTGATTGACACTAGCTATTATCACAACTCTTTAGTCTGTCATTTCGTGAATACTTAAAAGGGAAGATCATGTTTAAAATAACCAATATTCTAACAAGTAGCAAATATACTAGTATTTTAAACTGTAGCTTTTAACTCAATATCATGACTAAGAAAGCTTTTATACATTGCTTTTCTCAATTTTTCAACAATCAGAATGAATTTATATATTTGATATTAAACACTCAATATAATTTCTTCCTTATATGATTTAGAACTTACTCTAGTATCAGTTATTTATCTGGAGAACTGTAAAGGCAACAGATAAAAGTATAAACTATTATATACATATATTTTTGCCTGATTTCATTTGTATCCAAAAAGCCTAAAAGAATGTTTGTGCATGCACAAAACAAAATGAAAACTAAGGGACTGCTACATACTTATGAACTTTGTTTTCATAAATAGGATGGAATCTACAGAAAAATGCGAAGCTGTAATTGGTCATTTTAATGGAAAATTCATCAAGACACCGCCAGGAGTTTCTGGTATGTTCTCCAAAATTTTATCAGTAATCATTTATGTAATATGTACAACTTTAGTGCACGATGCTTCTTATAGTAAGAACAACAACTCTCATTTTGCTTTTTAAAATTTATATCTATATCAACAAATAAGACTCAAAAATTCAGCTTTTGCTTGGCACGGGTTGTCCCAAGTATTAATTGAAGTGGACCCAGAAGTAAGGAGCTGTCTGACTTGTAAAGCATTGCAAAATCCAACCCTCTGATGCACCAGCCTCCTTTCATTCTACTGGATGGCCATCCTTAGTAGACTTTCCACCCTTAGGATATGTCCTTTGAGGAGCGTGACACCTTCCCACCCCAGCAGTGCCTGGACTTCAGTCCCCACAGTCTATGTCCATTCCACATTAGCCCGTTCCCTCTGTTGTTCTGCTCTTCGTTGTCCTTATCAAGAACACTACACTCAGGAACTTTTCTAGCCAACATCCCATTCAGTGTCACTCAGTCTCACTCCCAGGACACCTGATCTGAAATACAAAGACACTCTTTCATTTTCACTGTTGTTACGGGTTTCTCTTTACCCATTTCTCATCCCTACAAGATCCGGTCTCCACTTCTGAGCACTAAAACTATTTCTTTAGTGACATCCTCAGATTTCTTGTACAGCAACCCTTGGTCACGTCTGCTTGGGAGAACCATGAACTGGCATTGATCTTGCAATAATCCACTCTACTGATCCTGTTACACCTGGGCAACTAAGGATTGACACCATGGCAGTTGATACATCTTCATTTGAACCAGACCCTCAGTACCACTGGCCCCTACTTGGCTTCCCTCCACCTCTCTCAGCAGTATTTCTCCCTTTTCACCAACCTGTACAGTCCCCTAGCTAGCTCTAGGCCGGTGAATAGCATTGAGATCATCAGCTTACTACATCTTTTCAGTATAGGGATCCACACCTACACCCACTCTTTCTCCTCTCCTTCCTCAAGGTCCTTTGTCCTTAGGAGGACCGAGGTTTCAGAGCTGTCTTTGGGATCCTGTTCCATCAGGGCGGTGCTCTGCCTCTCATTGCCTCTCTGTTCTATAATTACCATCTCTATATTTTACTTGTAATTACTTATTTTCTAACAAAAATTTTTATTTTTTTATTAATAAAATAGCAGATCTCTGGTAAGACGAAGCAGTGAGAAAGTGGGAGAAAATTCACAAACAATACCAGAAACAAAAAAAAATTGTGAGCATGACTACAATAGACGCTTTTAACATCACAGAGTTCAGTGAACGTATGCGCGAACTACTTTATGCCAGGAATTTTCTGGAAAAAGATATCCATTTGTGTTTGAAATCGCTCAAGTCTGTGATCTTCAAACTAAAAATAAGCAGTGCTCCTCTCTCACTCCTTCTCGTGAAAGCGTTTTTGAAGTGTGGTCTTCACTTCCTCACGTCCTGTTCACACCTCAGCTCTCTCCAGTCTTCCCCTTAAGCTTGTCATTGAAATTCTTGTTGATAAACTTATTATATTTGTTTGCTAGGACAACCACAACAAAACACCATAAATTGAGTGGCTTAAACAACCGAAATTTAGTGTCTCAGAGTCCTCAAGACCAGAAATTCAAGGTCAGGGTATGCAGGGTTGATTCCTCCTGAGGCCTTCAGGGGAACGATCCATTTCCAGGCCTCTCTCCTTGACTCATACTTGGTGACCTCACAGCGTTTGCTTCCCTCTGAGTGTGTCTGCCTCTGGATTCAAACTTCCCCTTCTTCCCAGAACACCAGCCATGCTTGGACTAAGGCCCAACCTAACTAATGACCTCATTGTAACTCTGAAAAGGAGCTCACATTGTGAAGTATGAAGCATTAGGGGGTTAGGACTCTAATGTTTTTTGTTGTTGTTGTTGTTTTGTTTTGTTTTGGGTGGGATCAGAGGGACAACACAATGCAACCCCTAATATTTACTTTGTGATTATCAAACTTGGGGACTTTCCTGGCTTCTTCTATGCTGTGTGTCTTATCTGTTGCATAAACTTTGAAATGTGCTGTCCCTTGCCTTTTGTTTCACTGATCTCTCTTTTCTTCCCGTCTTGTACTCTTTTTCCTTTGTGGACTCTTGTTTCTTTTATCTGCTCTTAATTGTTGGTGTTCCCCTGAATTTCATTTTTGGCTGACAGAGTGTATCTAGTCTCAAGTTTTTGGTTACTGTTTATCGTAAGAGACTCTCAGATACTCATCTCTTGTCCTAACTTTTCTCCTGAGAATCAGGCTGCCTGGCCTCAGTCACCTTAGGTTCATTCTCTCCAAAACTAGACCAGTGCCCTCTCCCATTAAAGTTAGTGGAATCAATATCCACCCAGATACTCCAGCCGAAAAGCCAGGACTGGATTCCCCCCAGCCACCTATGTCATCTCTCACACACAATCATTCAAATCCTTACAGTTTGTTTTGTTTTGCTTTTCCTGTTTCTAGAATCTATCTGCTCACTCCATTCCTCCTGTAACTGCCCAGTTTAACTTCTTACCATCTCACACCTGGGCCTTTTCAGCACTCTCCTGATTACCTGTCGTGTTGAAGCTTATATCCCCCAAACACCTGCCTGACTACAGCTAGAGAGACTTAAAATGTGTATATACTTCAGCATCACTTTTGTGCTAAAAATCAAGTCCTCTCCCTCTCCCAGAAGAAAAGATACAGGATTCCAAGAATGACATTGCAAGCCAAAGGTGACTAGAGTCCTTCTTAGTCCATTCCCTGCCTTCTATTTATTTTCTTCCAGTACTGAACTACAGGTACTAGTCCTAGTGCATCACATTGCAATATTTCTTTTTTCAGTCATTCTGTAGTTTCTAATGCCTCAGACCCCTTTGGTTCCCTTTCACCTGGCTGTCTCTGCCTCACCCTTCAAGACTGTTCACACACAGCCTGCCTTCTCCCTACAGGGGTCTCCTCTAACATAGTTGAGTTAGATTCTGTCTGCAAAGCACCCCGAGGATGCTCATCTGTGTCATTGCATTTACCAGGTTTACACGTGTCAATCCCGCTAAACTGGAAGCTCCTAGAAGTCAAAAACTGTTTTTTTATCTTTTTTTATGTGCCTTCCCAGCACAACGCCTGAACTGTGCTTAGCAATAACCAATGTTTGTTGGTTTTGAATAAATTCCACAGCATTATAACACCAAGACAGTGCTACCTCCTTACAAGATAGCATATGGTGGAGAAATTGAGATGCCTTTTGATTTGCAGCCAGCCTCTAAAACAAGATGCCTGACAGTAGGGAGAAACTCTCAAAATTTAGGAACTACCTTACCTTGCTTGGAAGGAGGAGCTACTAGAATTTTTAAAATGGGAACAAAAAGGAAACATCTACTCTCCAGCATCTTTTCTCCTCTGTAATTTTAATCATCTTATCTTTAGTTGGCATGACACATCTCAGTTCTGCTTCCCAGTCTGTATCTCAGATCAGCAAGTCATCTTCAGTCCTTAGGTCTGTCATTCAAAACAGCCTCACTTTCCTGTCTTGCTTTAGGGCGTGCCCTAGGGTAAAAGTTGGGTCTCTCAGTGGGTTGGGTAGAGGTCTGGAGAGTGGGTCTTTAACTATGCTACTCTGGCCTCCTACTCATCAGAGTCTCCTAAGGGGAGTAGCCATATCAATTAGATTTATCCTAATACTCATGTGGAAGACCTTGCCCTGGAGCTCACCTAGGAACAAAGGAGGAATCTCTGGAGGTGAGCAATTGCAGGGGAACCTATAAGAACAGAGCTCTCCGTTTGACAAACCGTGGCTTTTCCCCCACAGTATATCCAGCTACCTCACCACATTTTATATGTAAAAATATGTAAAACTGAAGTTAAGTAGATCCAGTGAATTGAACCTAACAGAAAGATTGGTCAGGCCCCACTTCTAGGGAACAAGCCCAGAGGCCCTATGGAACATGTGCCCTGGTTTTTCACTCAGGACATGCCAAGAAGCATTGAGGTATTTTAAAGTCAGATGAATTCCAACCAGGAGTCATTGAAGTGATTAGTTTCTCCAGGGCTCCTAGTGTTCGGTATTTATCCTCCCCTAGTTCCAAGGTTCCATCTTTAGCTGGATGACTGATGATGACGATTAGGGATTCACTTTAATTTTCTGTATCCAGTTGAGTTTCATTTCATAGAGGAACTAATTTGTAAGTCCGTGCAGTACCACAGGCTACATTTGATCTTGTAGCACTGAAACCTGACAGCGCGCTGTTTCTGTGGATATATCTGAAGGTGAACTGCCTGCAGGCACCAGTTTAGAGCATAAAGTACAAGATCTGGAGGATGCTGTTCCCAGGAACTCAACCCCCGTGAAAGAGCTTCTTTTTTGTTAAGTTAGTTTTGTTTTCCCATTGACAATCCTTGATTGAAAGAAAAGGAAAGTGAAAGGGATGTTTTTAACCTCCACCCAAAAGCAAGAGAGCCTTGTGTGAACCTGAACCCTGCAGGTCAGACCCTCCAAGTTAATCCCCTGTGCCCACTGGCTTTTCTCTACTTCCCCTGAGTCATCCCCTGCACGCTGGGGACCCCCAAGCATTAGTCCCTTTGAAGGGCTGCTCATCCACTTACTTGTGAGCACTTCATTTTCTCACTTCCTTCTTGCAGGCAGCAAGGAAAGTTGAAGGAGAAAAGGCATCCAGAACACATTAATTTTGATGTTGAATCAATCTAGATAGATCTCCCAGTTTCTTGAGTGAAGTAGATCTCCAGCTGCCACAGATTGAGGTTGGACAGGTTTCTTATTTTCTCCAAAGAACTTAACAGTATCCATTGACTGTTTTCTTTGAAGTGGATTCACAGATTGCTGGCCATGTCCTTTCAAGGAGAAAAAAAAAAAAAAAAACACTTCGATTTCCAAACCACATGTCAACGATGGTAGGAACCTATACACCACTGTAGCCGGTAGAGAGCAGTTTCTTCCAAGTTCTGCCAAGTGGCAAATGGGGCCCAAGAAACAAATTCCATATAGGTTGTATCACCGTACAATTTTGCAGTCAAGCCATTCT